GAAAAGGACATTCGTTTGGAACAATTACCCCCCCTCGTCATAATACTGCTACTGCTAACACTAACATAAGCATTCAGAATTTTCAAGGGGAAAATACTGCTGCTGTGCAATAAGGACACTTTTGTTTTTGTACATTAACTCATAATGTCTAAAAATCTATTTTAAATTATATGTATATTATTTTTTATATATTAATTTTTACATTTTTCCAATGTTCCCATGATGTAAATAAATGATGTAAGTGTGGTTTGCGCTGTTTGTCACATAGCCACCCCTTTTAGAACTGGAACATTTTTTTGGCCTACTCTTTCCTATTTAACGCCTAGATAATCCAAAAGAAATAAATTCGAATACAATACCCCCCCCCCAAAAAAAAACCCATTACCAATACAAAAAGGCATGGGTGTGAGTTCATGTTTTACTATTATGACTCTAGGAATATGACGGAACACTTCACAGTAGAGAGAGGAAAGAAAGAAAAAAAATACAAATTTGAAAGATTACCTTACAGTTAGAGTTTTATTTATTAAGGAAAGACAGACAAAGTTAAGTAAAGTGGGGTGGAGGGGGGATAGAGAAGAACACTTGAAAAATGAGATAAATTACAGTAACTTGGTGGTTTAAGCTGTATAATTAACCACATAGCACCCTCTCTAGATTTAGTTTTAGTTCTAGTAGGAGTTATAGGCACTTGCATTGCAACACAATAAGGTCATATAAATGCCAAAGATTAGAATTGTTACAAGAGAGTAACAAACACAAAAAAGAAGGAGCGATAAGGACGGTAGATGTTCGATAGGAAAGAAGGAGCAAACCATACAAGAGCATCCACAAACCACCCACTCCTCTTTGGAAGCAAAGAGACAGACAGGTTGAATAAGTCAGGAGTGCCATATTGTTGCCAACTACCAATTCTACTTAGGAGTCCGCTTAAGTTAAACAGAACATTTAATCCGAAAACAGAAATAAACTTAAAGAAAATTAAAGCCCTGACTTTTCTTCCATTCTATTTGCCTTTTGAGCAGTCTCTCTGAACCGAAAACCCGACTAAACAGAGTTTTACGGCATTTTGCAACACAATAAGGTCATAATATAAGCGAAGAAGATTAGAGATTACAAAAGAGTAACAAACACAAAAAAGGAGAGATATAAGCATTCTGTGTTTTTGTCGAAATAGTGGCAATAAAATACTGATTTGCAATGATCTTAGTCTTGAAAAAAATTAGGCTTCATATCTGTTACAGTGATTGTACTCTGTAAAGTGGAGATGTTTGGTGTACTTGGAACCGTACTCTTTTATTGTCTGTCAAACATGGGGTTGAAGCAAGTTGGCGACTTACCAATATATTTTATCAAATTTAAAACGGCTGCCACTTTCTTAAAAATTGACTAAGCTGAGAGGTGAAAGAATGGTACCAAAATTCTCAGGAGACATAGGCCTTTCATATGGAACATAAATTTGGCATACCCGGTACAGCTACTTAAAAAATTTAGTTTCTGGTACCTAAAACAAGGTAAATAGATGTTCTACAGAGGAATAAAAAAAGCAAACCAAACCAGAGTACCCGCCAACCACCAAATGAGATTTCAGTTTAAGTAAGCGGACTCCACAGTATTTCTATTATGACAATGACAATATCAAGGAACCACTGTAAAGCACAGCTCAGTTTAATGTGAGGACAAAGAGGAACATCTTCGCAGTCATGGCACGTTGAATGCTGGGAAAAAGAAAGATAGACAGAAATAAAAGAGAAAGAAGTAGAAGAACCTGCCACTGCTTGTTGCAGTGCCCTCTAACCTCTCGCACAAAGCACAGCATCAGGTAAGACAAAGAGTCTGGATTCAACAGAAGCAAACCATAATGACCAGAAGTCTGAAGAGACAAAAACATCGAGAACTGGGCAGAAGAACAAGATATAGAATCTAGTGTCATTTAAGATATTAAATACAAACATAAACTCAATAAGACAAGCTGCACACTATATTCCACAGACTTATAATAATTATAATGAAATATATATGTACATAACTTTATACAGAAACAGTAGCCAAACAATCAGCCTTTCGTCGCCTTAGAACTATTTCGTCCAAAGTGCCTCTATATTTAAGTACACTGTCGACAAAATAGTTCTGAGGCCACGCTTTGTCAACACAAAGCACCTTCAGTGTGTCATCATGTCATCGAACCATTATTCTGTTGCATCACAGAAATGACCAGTTGGCGGGTGTGGCATCAGTCATAATTTCAGGGCAAATATTATACAACTCATTTCTCAATAAAGTGTGCCCTAAGTCTTTAGTCAGGTGAAGGAAGTTTCTAAAATGTATTTTTCAGAATAAGCCAGATCATCATTGTGTTAATTTTAATTCATAAAAATGTCATATATGTACCTCTATAATAACTATAACAATGAATTTTGAAGCATCTATCACCAAATTTGATTCATTTCATCATATTTCCCCAACAGTACACGATTTTCTTTTTACTATGATCAGACCAAAGAAAATAAAACAACAAATGCTGCCTGTAAGAATAAATGTTCAAAAAATTAATATAAAAGATTAAACCTCACAGAAAAACTGATCAAACTTTAAATCATGAAATGTAATACAAAGATCCTGTGAACAGAGAGAAAAAAAAAAGTAACAAATAGAAAGTTTATTCTGGAGTGGAGTAGTTTCAGCAAGATGCAGACAGCTAAGAGTCGTCATCACCTTGAGATGAGAATTGTGAATGCTGCCCGAAGTCTTTGGGCTCTTGTCTTGGGTCGAGGATGCTTGTACTTGTCCACAACAACGATGTCGTTATGCTACTACGCATATGTACGGTAGTCTGAATAGAAAGAAGATGATGAACACAGATTTTACACTTAGATTAGAAGACAACTATGGCAAAGAGGCATGAATGATTCCACAAACAGCATATATCTTCACGAATGTCTTTGCCCAATAATAAACAATTAGATTCTATAGATAGCATTTGCTTAGAGCTCCAGTTTCCGCTCAACACTAAGCTCCATGCGCTTTGCAATCTACAGTCAAACACGGGTGACTCGAATTCGTCTGGGATTGGAAATAGCGTTCAAGATTCCGTAATTCGTCATGACCGTGAAAGCCCCAAATAGAGAGAAAATCAAGGAATGCAAAAAAGAACATTAAAACAATTAACGTGGTTATCTCCCTTGCAAACGTGTTGACGGTGTGACAGCAAGAAGAATGAAAGTGGAAAGCAGAAAATCTCACATGTGCACAGCCGACTCCTACGTCATACCTTTCCTCTCATTTAATTGGCTTACAGAAAGTTACGCCTCTAGCCATCCCAGACCTGCCACTCTATGAAATCTAAAAATCAGGATTTCTGAGTTTAAAAAATCGGGATCAACGGCAAATCAGTCATAAAGCCGCAAAGGGCACTGGGGGGGGGGGGGGGGGGGGGGGGTGTCGTGGTCCCCTTTTAAGAGGCAAGTATGCAAAGCAAAACTTTGACAGCATATATGTACTCGAGTCGAAGTTGGATAGACTGGGGGAGCGAAGGTCGCAGTGATGCTGAAACACTCGTAGTCTTGAAAATAGCTGACACGTAACTCTAATCATCCACGCAAAACGCCCGCGTTTTAACAAAGTTTGACTTCCATCACATCGAAAAAAAGATCGCGCCAAGGTTGTTCATTTTTTTTCTTATTCCTTTCCCCTTAATTAGTACCTGTATCACGGCACGCATTTTAAGCCCAAGTGTCAAAACAATACCCCCACCCCCTCCCCCCGGCCGTCCACACTGGTTAAGTCCCGAAAAACACCTCGACCAACGCGATCGGTGTGAATGAACTTTGTTGACCCCGACAACCGACGGTCCCCGACACACGCGCTACTCACCACACGTACGAGGTCATGTCATGTGATGCGAGTGAGCGTTTGAAACTAGGTCGATTTTAGTTTAAATAACGTACGTTAGCCCTCTACAAGACCTAGATTCGGCATAGATGCTTTAGAAAATTGCGTTCCAAGTTCCTGCTGATAAAAAGTCCAATCGGTGTTTCCAAGCAAAAGAGATTGCAGAACTTTTTATATTTTTTTCTAAGAATCGGACGCAACAGACGCAACCACGAAAAATCAGGATACTGGCGATCGAAATCGGGAAAATCGGGATGCTTGAGATTTTTGCAAATCGGGATATCCCGATTAAATCGGGATGAGTGGCAGGTCTGCCATCCGCCCCACAGCATGATTGCACACCTGGCGAGCCAGTCATGTGGTGCAGTCAGCATTACTCCCCAACCTCCTTTCCCTGTTACCTCCCCCCCTCCAACCTGTCATAGAGAGACAAGGACCACATTTTGGCTATAGCTATAAAAAAAGAAATACCTGCCGCCAGCGGCCAGAAAGGCTGTCTGGGTCTTTAGTTGAGAATGCGAAGTGGATCAGATTGAGATACGAGTGTTGTGAGTTCTGAGTGTTCGGGAACTCCGAGAAGTCAATACAAAGAAAACGTTGGGACTAAAACGGGACCGAGCATTATGTTCAAGATACCCGAGAATTCGTGGTTTTCCTGTTCGAGATTCGTAGACTCGACTGAATATTGTTCAATACTTGAAACAACCAACTATTACAGAACAGGTATCTGTAAGGACAACCTTTACAAATTTGCCCCTCCCAGTAGAGACAGGTGGCAAGCGCTTTTTTCTTCCCGAGCGAGAAGACCGAGAAGCTGACCCACTTCTCGCCGGGACCAGTACCGAGAAGTGCTTCTCGTCTCGTGACCAATTTCTCTTCTCGCGCCCTAAGACGAGCAGCTCGCTCAGCGAGAAGGCCGGCCATGGCCGAGATTTCTCTTCTCATGCCCTAAGATGAGTAACTCGCTTAGTGCCGACCGTGGCCGGGATCTAAACTAGGCTAGCCCTGTTGCGCAGGCGGTGAAGGAAGGTAGGGAGATCTACGCCTAGGCCCTGATAAACTCCCCGCTCGCCTCGTCTCGCCACCCTCTCCCCTCCCTTTCAGTTTAAGGCACAGTGATGGGTGACACTGTCTGCGTGTCATTTCTCGCCGGCTGTGCCGCTCTTTCCATTGACACCTCTCACTCTCGTTACTCGTTATGTCAAGCCAACGAGCGGTATCACTTCTCGGTATCGGGCAGTAGTTTAGTGGCCGGGAAGTGATGGGAAGGGCATTTCTCACTAGAAACGGGTACTCTTCTCGGCTCATGCCGCTCCTACCTCCCATGTCTCATAAGTAATTCAAATCATCATTAAAAAAAAAAGTTCTGAAGTGAACAATCAAAATACACCCAGAATGGCAGACTTTATGAAATTTGAATCTGGCCGCAGTATTTACAGATCTGACCGAACAAAGAATGTATTTTACTTTCTAGCCACACTTTTAAAACGTGATGTATAAACTGTAAAAACTCTTACACTAAAAACAAAGCGTGTACTAAAATTATTTACCTGACAGCATGCATAGCAGCCCATGCCTCTACTTCTTCTTCTGAGCTGTCCCAATATTGCACTGGTTCACCTGGAATACAAAAAGTCGAAATGATAAGGGCATTGCTAGATTAAATTTGAAAGACATGCTTGGAGTTGGGTATTTTTATGATAAAAAGCTTAAAATTTTTTTTTTTTTAAATCCCCCTCTCTTGAATCTGTTATTATTTTTTTAAAAACTTCCTGGGGGGAGGGGGGGAAGACAAGCAACGCCAAACCCCCAAAAGCAAAAAAATTGAAGCAGATCAACATTATCAAAAAAACTTCAAAAGTATTTTGTTATGTGGTACAAATCCAAAGCGCTTGCTTTGTGACCACGTCAATGAAACAGTCCAACTTGCTCTTTGGATGTCCCAAACTACAGGACCTCCAACTCCAATGCCAACTTTCCTCCTGTCCCTTCCAGAGACATCAATAACCTATGAAGCCTACTATACTGCAGCAAAGAACAAATGCTGAAGGCCTCTACCTTTTTAAACATGGTAATAGGGCGAATGGCACTCACTCAAAGGCTACTGGATTAACAACAACATGACGTGGTACAAATTGTACAGAGGATCCCTACAGAGGTTTAGTTAACAGAACCAGGATATTCAGTCATACACGTCATAAACTCTTCCTGCTGATGTCCACGCAGTAAAACTTTCTTTTTTGTACACAAATAACATGCACTAAACAACATAGCCAATTGGAGTCTTCATTCATTTCATGTTTAGCCTATACTTTTTCACGAGACAGCTTTCTCTTTGTTTTCATTCCTGAGAGTTTTACGGTTTTAAGCATTTTGTAGAAGTAGAAGGGAGATATTGGGTCCAGGGGTTTAGTTTAGTTTTAGTAAGAGTTCTACGGCACCTGCAACACAAATACTGTAAGTCATTAACACAGAAAATTAGAGGTGTTACAAGGGAGTAACATAAAAAGAAAAGAAGGAAGAGAGAAAGAGAGATAAGGACAATAGATGTTTCGGAGGAAACAAAGAGTAAACCACACTACAGCACCCACCAACTACCCATGGGTATGGAGGCAAGAGGAGTTACTGCAGGGTTCATACTGAGTAGGAGATTTTTTTCCCCCAAGACTTTTCCAAGAGTTTTCAAGACCAGATTTATTTTTTCCAAGACAAATAACATGTGAATTCAGAAGAAAATTTTTCGTTCAGCAAACAAAAATACATATGGTACACTTCAGACTGTGTAAAGTCGAGGCCTTCTAAACTTCGAGGAGATATTTTTACAATAGATCTCAGTCCTATAGGAGACAAGTTAAATTTGGCAGACCTGTCTCTTGCTAATCATACAGGGTTGAAAGGGAGATCAAACCCATACAATTATCCGATCAGCACTTGGGCACTCTTTACAAAACTTGGCTTGAAAGAAATATCCTATGAAAAACAGGATGAATAATTTTTTAAACTCTACTTCTATTCGAACTGATGCATTACTGACCAATTCACAGGCACCGACTTAAAGTTTCAGTAAAATTTTTAGAGCACTTGCGGCACAAACAGGTCATATATAGGTGCCAAAGATTAGAGGTGTCACAAACATACATAAAAGAAGGAGAGATACAGACGATATATGATTGACAGGAAAGAAGGAACAAGCCACACCAGATTACCTGCCAACCACCCACTGCAATGACTCTTCACAAGTCTTTCCCTATAAAATCATTCTATAAGAACCAGTAGGCATTTTTCTCTCTAACTCTGCATCCAGCAGAGTATTACTTACCTTGGTGGCAAATCGGAGGGAGTTGAGCGATTCACCGAAGCACTCTTCTTTAGGAGAAACATTAACAAACATCAGTGTTTTGCTGTTTCCGCCAAGGGAATTTTGCAAGAGGTAAGTGAGTTTTGAATTCCTGTAGGGCACATGCTTGTCCTGGAGGAAAAGAGAAATGAAAAGTCAAGAAACAATTTAAAAAAATTTTTTTAACACTAATTTTCTCTCAATATAGAATGACAAGTAGGCCTCTATGAGTATTATAAAATACTATTTATTATATTTAATATATAACAATAATAACAACAAAGTTGATAAATAGTACAGCATCCACCCAAGTGCGGCTTTAGTTGTTTATGTTTCCCCATATAATGTGACTACTCAGTAATGGCAAATTTATATTGTTATAAATTGATATTCTTTTTTTTTAAAAAAAGAGAAAAAAAAAAAAGACTAATATTGTCACATAAACAAAGTTTGCCACATTTATACGAAGCTTACCTTGTTCCCCAAAGCCATGATGACATTCCCCAAATTGCTCAGGCTTTTGTTGATGTTTTGTGCTTCTATCAACCTTTGACCTTCTGAGCCCGAGTCCTTGACCCGCTCACTCCCTGCTAGGTCAACAAGATTCAGGATTCCTGAAAGTAAAGAAAAAATACTACAGTCAATTCAGCTTCTGTTGATCTTTCGTTAAGTTGATCTTTCTCTCGGGTCCAAGCACCGCTCCTTCTTTACAGGTCCCAACGATTAAGTTGAAGTTCGGAGGAGTTGATCTTTTTGTAATCCAACTGATGACAACAACTCATCTGCAGTCGACTGAGCTAGAAATTACAATAGGGATAATTTGGGGATCATACTGTCCTGTGTGAGCCAGATGATATAAAATTCTTTTTCAACTTAAGTTTTCTCATGTCACCAGTACATTTAAGGCAACTCTGCCACACACTTGTGCCCATGGGTATGGAACGCATTGCTAAATGAGCATTTAGCTGTCAATAATTTAGAAATTTTCTAAAGAAATCTAAAATCTCTTTTTCCCAAGAAATATATCACTTTCCTGCCATTGTAAGTCGAAGTGATACTTTTCAGTCTTTTTGATGTTTGGAAGACTAAGTGATTGTGCACACACCTATATATGCTTTTTTATGCCTTTGTGCACATGAGTATGTGAGTGAGTATGTGTATAAGTGTGAGTGTGTATGTGTATAAGAGTGAGTGTGAGTGTATAAGAGTGAGTGTGAGTGTATAAGAGTGAGTGTGAGTGTGTAAGAGTGTGTATGTGTATAAGTGTGAGTGTGTATGTGTATAAGAGTGAGTGTGAGTGTATAAGAGTGAGTGTGAGTGTGTATGTGTATAAGAGTGAGTGTGAGTGTGTAAGAGTGAGTATGTGTGTAAGAGTGTATGAGAGTGTGTATGTGTATAAGAGTGAGTGTGTATGTGTATAAGAGTGAGTGTGAGTGTAAGAGTGTATGAGAGTGTGTATGTGTATAAGAGTGAGTGTGAGTGTGTAAGAGTGAGTATGTGTGTAAGAGTGTATGAGAGTGTGTATGTGTATAAGAGTTTGTGTGAGTGTGTATGTAAGTATATGTGTAAGAGTGTGCACGTGTGACTGTCAGCGGTTAGATGAACGTGAATAATTTTTATTGGCTTGAATGTCGCTTGAATAACCAATTTCATAATCGATGTTGTAAGGTGGCTAGTCCCAGTTGAGTAGAGGGCACTATAAAAAAAATTTACTTTTTAATTATTATTATTACCTTTGCAGGACTCCCCGGTGATACTGTTTTCCCCAGTAAGCCTCAGCTGAAATACAGAGTGGCTTCGAGATGAGCGCTCATTGCACTTTGTCTCAGCCACAGCTCGGTTTTCTGTTGCCTTCCTCAGCAGATTCAAAACCTGGGATGATAGAAAGGAAAGATTTGTTCAATGGCCCATTTGAAATTTTTAATGTTTTAGTGTTTCATGGCACTTGCAACACAATAAGGTCATATAAGTGCCGAAGATAAAAGATGTTACAAGAGAGTAACAAACACAAAAAAGAAGGAAGGGAAGTAAAGACGATAGACGTTTGATAGGAAAGAAGAAGCAAACCACACCAGAGCACCCACCAACCACCCACAAAACTTTTTAAAAGGTAAGGTAATGTTAATTCTGTGATGGTAGATGAAGCAGGAAACCAAGCAAGAGAAAAGACAGAAGTAGCATCAGTGAACAAACTTCTTCAAATTCACAATATCATGGCATTGATCTCCTAAAGCTATCCACAACAATGATAACTTTGTATTTTGAAAACTGAGAACATAATCAGAAAAGTAAAAGTAAAGATCGAAAAAGTAAAACTGAGAATATTAATATATAACTAAGGAAAATCCAGAAAATACTAGAATTCAGACTATAAAATTAAACAGGAAGATCACTCATGAAGCTCCAGCAAGACTAAAATGTCTATAATTCAATTACTTAAAAATTAGTTTACCTTATCCTCCGAAGTCACGTCCACTACTGTAAGACCAGAGACATACACGTCAGAGTCTCCTTTGCCGCACATTTTGATTTCATGTTTCTCCTCTTTGCCCTTGCCCAAAAGATCACGGATCGTTTCATTGTAAATCTCAAGCATGGCTGCTTGGAAAGTGTACTGTGGACGATAGAGAAACATAAAAAATTAAAAAAAAATATAAAAGAAGTAACACATTGCATATTATTACAAAACTTTAATCTGTAGAAATTGATTGAGAGAAGTTATGGCACAGAGAAAAGGGAACAAAACCCATCATGACACGCACCAAATGCAAGTACCACTCAAAGCAACAGAATTTTCAAACATGATTTATAGTTCTTTCTTGGGTACCAGATGATCAATTTGAGTAAAGAAAAGCACATCGACATAACAACTGCTATTCAGTGCAGTGAAAGGAAAAAACAGAAACTTTTAAAAATGAAAAGGAAACAAGGAAAACCTGCCCCTGGTGCTCTCCAAGCACACATGTTCTCTGATTTGGTTCTTCACCAAGAAACAGCATTATGAAAGTAGAAAATTCTCAATGCTAAGCCTACTGTGGCCTAAAAATAAAAGCCCCTGAAATATAATGCTACTTAGTTAAATGCTGTGCACAGATGTAAAAAAACAACTGCAACTGTTATTGTAAGGAACAAAATCAACATACTCATTTGAAAAAAAAAAAAAGTTCAAACAGCTTAGCTAGCATTGTGAAAAATTGCTTTCAGATATTACTGAGATAACTCATGACATTTGACTGTATGGAATTGCTTAGCTTGCATATCATAAGCTGGGTAGGAAAAGAAGAGGATGATTTTTTTTTAAAATCTGGAAGACATGACAAGAAACCATAATAGAATTTTCTGAAAGCTGAATGAAAAAAAAAAAAAAGCAGAAGAAAGAAAATAAATCTGAACATAGTGAGGAAGAAAGAACAGAGTGAATTGTGAAAATAAAACCCAACGAACCATTAAAACAATTTGACAAGGTAGTATGCAGTATTATAAAATACTCTCTTTTCTCTCTAAAAGGAAACGAAGCTTGCCAACTAGAAAGCAGATACACCTTTATATATATAGCAAATATTGCTTAACAGTTACAAACAAGTGAATGAAAGCATAGTCTCACAGAAATAGAAAAAAAAGTTTTCAATCTTGGGACATTCTTACAGCACTGTCTGAATATATATGACTGTTCACAGGAACTGTAAAAATAGTAATATTGCCAAACCTTCCATCCTTTCTGCTGCAGATGCAAGGCTGAGGAGAAGATCTGCCTCACAGCTCTAGGGATCATTCCAAGAGTCTCGTCACTCTGCAATGAACCTTCCATTGTGAAGGTCTTTCCCGACCCAGTCTGCCCATACGCAAATATGCAGACATTGTAGCCGTCGAGAGCACTCTGATTTAAATTGGAGGGGAAGGGGGAGAAGAAAAAAAGAAAAGAGGAACATTATAATTGATACTTGTAGTGAGATTTATTTGACAATGACATGCATAATAGTCAATAATATACAAATACAAAAGGCCTGGTAATAAAAGGGATCCGGTAATAACAGGAATTTTTTAAATCCGTGTTTTTTCCTACTCTTTGTCTCTATTAAAAGTTATCGGCAATAACAGGGCCTCATCGGAGCCCAATCGGTTATAGCAGGGACAAAGGCTCGTTAACAATGTGTAAAAAGTAAGAAAGCACACGCAGCGGGTGAAGCGAGAGAGGGCCGTGGTGTGCTACAGACCTCGAACTAGCCCTAAGCCTAAGCCTAGCTACACGCATACGTAATTTGCCAAGCGCAGGCTGGCCGCATGGCCAAATCCGACAGCCCTGGTCATGCGCACAGCTTGTTTCGAGGCCTTCATAGTTCACAGCACACACACATGCACCCCACCGCACAAAAAAACCTAGCAAGCAATAATTATTACCCAGTTCAAACCCCTGTTCGTGGGTACTTGTGGCAAGTGAAACTACTCATGAATAAATACAGCTGGATCAGCCCACAAATGCTTACTTCTCTTGCATTTCTGATTTAACAGGGATCTCATATAACAGGACTTTTTCTCTGGTCCTGCCATCCCTGTTATATCAGGTTTCCACTGTATAAAAAAAACAGTAACAGTAGCATCGTCGTCATTTGAACAAGTGATTGTCTTACACTTACAGCAAGTAGACTCTATAAAGAGGACTACACATAACAAGCAATTCAGACATTCTTACACCTAGTTCGCTACCAACCTGGACCAGTTGTGAAATTTCTTCAAACACATCAGCTTGGGACGACTCTGGTTGAAAAACTCGATCAAACGAAAATTCATACTTCGACACAGCTCGTCCCCCTTTCGTAGAATTCAGAACACTCTGCAAAATAAGAGTAATATACATAGATTAAGTTAAAATTGAGACAAAACTTAGGGATTACTTCTTCAATGTGTTTCTAATCACCACCAGGTGATGCTCGAATTTATTCATATGTGATGGGTTCTACATACTGTTATCACTCTACAAGAGAGGTTAGGGATTCTGTTGAGAAAATGAGTTTTATTTTAATCCATCAAACAATCCCCAGCCATAAAAAAAAACCCAGAACTGACAGCTGTTTTATTAAAATCAATACATGGACCAAAAAAAGTGCTGACAAGAATTTTTTCACACACAAGAAGGAAGAAAAATCAACCAATGAAACTTTACAACCATCATTACTGACCACAAAAGCCACGCCATTATTGCCTTTTGAAACAATAAAAAGTACAACACTACTGCTTCAATTTTGACCTTCAGGCCAACCTGGTCTAATTGGGAAACAGTATCTCAGCAGACAGACGACACACTTGATAGAATAGCTTTCCCATGTCAGATTCAAACTCATATAACCTGCCTGCAACAGCAAACAGCCTAGACCTAACACCACAGATGCCCCTGCCAACGGAGTGACAAAGTCAACCAACGGTAAAATAACAGATTAAAAAATGTTTTTTCTTTAAAGCAGACCATTGTGCAAACACTAAGAATACATCTCTAAACTCGGGAAACACAAAATATCCAAAACTTACAAATCCAACACTGGATTGGTTGAGAATAGAAGAATACAGAAGGAGAAGATGAAAACAAACAAGCAAAAAAAAAACACACAAAAAAACTCAACATACCTCATTCACAGACATGTCTGACAATTTGTCCATCTCCAAGACTTTGCCGTCCATGTCTGGAAAGTTCATGTGGTTTATCACCCCATCATTTCCAAGTAGCTCATCCCCAAGCAAAGGACGAATTCGGCAAAAGACACGGATATTGCCCTGTTGAAAAACACAACAATTTTGTAGAGAGAATTATAACAATTAACCTTGGTTAAAAACAATTGCACATTTTCAACAAACAGAGCAGGTAGCTGGGAAGTAGACCCAATGTTGCAACATAACACTAGAGAAATGGAAAATTTGAGAAAGCTGAAGAAATTGTACACCAGCGGTCCAAACCAAATACACTGTGAATCCAAAAATTATGATACCACTTTAGACATTCCTCCCTGGATGGAAAATATGTCACTTTCATTATGACAAATAGGATGTTCAAAGAAAATAGAGAGATGGCAATTGAAATTTAAATAACAAACCTTAATACAATTTCTTAGGCTCTTTCTGTTACGGCATTCCGCCCTTTGTTTCTTTTCATCTGCATGCTAATGAAAATTATAAATGCTAACGATTAACAGTACAACACATTGAAAATATTTGGACTCTATTCTTTTTGTCTTCATCTTTATAAATAATTACAATATGTCTGCTCAATTGGTGAAATAAATCTAGGGACTGGCCTGTCCCTACACACGTTTAACCTGTCACATTTACAACACACAGTTTGGCATGGATTTGGAAACTCCTCTGGCATAGAAAGAGTGGAAGCAGATGCAAAGGACAGCAGAAGCAATAATTCCATGAACAGGTTTTTTAAATACCGTTTTCATTCTATGTGTGAAAAGGACTACTGGATATTACAAACAAAGAAATTTGCAATGAAAATGCAGTCCTTGAAACTTCATATGAAAACCACACAAAAATACCAAAGAATCAACTCAGTTTGTGAAATGCGTAGCCCTGTCTTAAGTCTAAATGACAGGAACTGAACTACTGACAATGTGATGTGATGTTCTGAATGACGCTCAGTTGAATAATTATTGTACTACCTACATACCGTCGAACCCGCCTTAACGGAAACCTGTGTAAAATGAAAACCTGTCTTAATGGAATCTCCCCGCTCCCCCTTTGATATATTTCTCTTTAAACATCTGTATAAAACGGAAACCTCTCCAACGCGGAAACGAAAAAAAAAAAATCAGCTCCCTTCCAAGGTTTTCACCTGTGTAAGACGGAAAATGCTTTGCCCGCTCAGCCCTGATTTGAAACAAAACTCGCAAGTTCGGTTCCGCCGGCTCTAAACTTAACGCCATGGCCATGCTGCCAAAGATTCTCTACTACCCTCTACTAGGTAGTAGAGGATCTTTGATGCCGCTGGATGAGGAAGGGGAGTAGGGGTGCAATTTGAGGGTAGATGTTACCCCACCATGTGAGCCCTGAGCGATGCAGATGGTCAAGGTAGTGTTTGTGTGAAATCTCACGACTGCCCGCGAGAGTGCTCAAGTAGCGAGCCACTACGGAAACTTTCCAGGGTAGTCAGAAGCCAGAGGTGTGAAATCAGATTGACCAATGTCTGCCGCCCTGATTGTACAGCCAGCCGAGAAAAGAGTTCCTCGAATCGTTGTTACATGATGGCAGTGAGGGGTGGCATTGATTGATTGACTGTGCTTGCTACACCGGTGGGTGGGGTTAAGGGTGGAAGCAAAGGAAATGTTCAAACATTTCTGTTTTTAGTGGGTCAAACAGTGGTCCTATGAAAGGCAAGCACTGGTGGTAATGGGATAAGTAAGACTGACGCATGTCATTATAGGAGAGGATAGCAGTCGAGAGGTGTGAAGTTTAGATCACTGCTTGCCGATCGGACAAGCGACCCTTGATCCCACCAGCTGAGCCTTTGAATCCTCCCGACCCCTTCATCTCACCCTAAATTCCCCTGTCTAAGACGGAATTTTTTGGGGGCCCCCTTGCGATTCCGTCTTACACAGGTTCGACTGTATTTTGAAATTTGGTTAGGCGGCCTTTTATTCCTGAAAAGAGGAAGAAAAAAACAACCAAACCAACACCAACAGATTACCATCACACTAAAATCCACTAAGCACTACCCACCTTGAGCTCTTGAATGGTGTTGTGCAGCTTCCTTCTCTCAGTTTCGTGATTCCTTTCTTTTTCTTGGTAAGACTCTATACTCTCATCACGAATCTTCAACGTATTGTCCCTGTCTTGAACAGTCTGCTTGAGATTACTGATATCTTTAAAAGCAGCGTCTAGCTGGAGCTGTTACACAAAGAATAGAGCATGATAAAGAACAACAATCAGCATAACAATAGACACAAACGCTATTCAAACTCTATAAATAATTTCTTTTTTGATTGTGCAGTATCTTCAAGCACGGTGTAAATCAGCCATACCGGCTCACAACAAGAGACCAACAAGAAGAGGCATTCTGTATATAAATTGATATTAAGATCCATCAAACAGTAAAGATAACTTCTAAAAGATAATTTCAATACACTATGATTCATAGAAAAGAGTTGAACGCTAACTTAAATGAAAGATTACATAAAAGCAATTCCAAAGGTTTGCACGAATGGAGTGCCTCTTTTCTTTCATCAAGGACAAACAACACAAATGATGAATTTGTATGAAATTGGGCCTTTTGAATAACAAGCAAAAGTTCCAATCTTTATTCATTTTTGTTGCATCATACTGTGGGTGTCTTTTACCAGACTTGCCCATAAAAACAGCTTTGCTTCTAACAGGTAATTTTGTTGCACATTTTGAAATTATTTTTAAAAAATAAAAAACTCCAAGACCTTTCAGTATTCATATTTCTTTTTTAACCTGTATGATGACATCATAATCTAAAACGAAAGAAAAACTAAGTGAACCTTTGCGGTCTCCAGCTCTGCCCTGACAGTCGCTTGTGCTGAGGTCATTTCTGCTACTGTTGCTTTGAGACCACTGATTTCTTTCATCGATGCTGCAAGTTCCCCCTCTAAGGTAATCTTCTGACGATCAAGAGTGGACTTTTGAAACTGTAAGTCGTCAATTTCACGCTGCAAAGTTCTCTTCGTCGTTTCAAATTCTTGTTCTGCGGCACTGAGGAAGTGCAAAAACACGCCATAAAGTCTCATGGCAGAACTTTCTACTTGTAAAACTAATATTCTTAACAGATGCCCAAGTTGATTATGAAAGGGCAATATTTTAGCTCAGTGGGCTAAAATGAAATGCCCCAGGTAACTTGAGCAGTCATGAAAACAACAGTACACTGAGTCACACTCATACATCGGGAAAGAAAAGGTTTAAAAAATTTTTTTTTTACCCCCCCCCCCCCCCCCAAAAAAAAAAACATTTTAAAAATAAGCTTTGAAAAATCCATCAAAGATATTGATGATAGAAACAATGTGTTTAAATATCTGGATTTTTTTAAAAGCCTATTTTTTAAATATATTTGTTTATTTTTTTCTTAGTTGTGACGGTGGCATAGTGGTTAGGCTCTCGGACTCACAACCATAAGGTAAAGGGTTCGAATCTCGTCAGGGGCCTGACGTTGTGTCTTAGGGAAAGGTACTTTACACAAATATATTTCCTTCACTTCACCCGAGCGAGAATGGGTACACAGCTATTGACAACGAAAGATCTTATCAATTTGTTTGTGTTTGAGTGCTTAATATGCTGCTTGTATTGTATCCCTCCCAGGAAGCTGAGGATATTTCTGAATGTTCTATGGTCTACCGGGGTAATAATATAGTGTAAGGCGCATAGAGCTTGCTGTTGAGCGGGGTATGCGCTATACAAATGCTATATTATTACTTCACTTACTTCAGTTTGTTCTTCAGTTCTTGTATCTCCTTCACAGCAGTTTCACTTGCCATCTCCTTCTCCACAACATCTCCACTGAGCTTTTGATTCTGTGACTCGAGCTGAACTATACGGTCATTGTACTGTGTAAGCTGGCCCTACAGACGGACAGAAATAAAAATTATATTTTTAAAAATTGAACGCTTCACCTCAATACACGGACACAACACGAAAGAGATAGATTTATATATATACATAATACAGACCTGC